AATATTTTGCTGAGTTAACACACCTATAATATTCAAATGACAGAATTTAAAAAAGGGGATACAAATGAATGTTCATTTTGTATCTGTATATTCAAAATGGTTAGGATAGATATACAGTTACATTCTCTTAATGAATAGAGGGATTTGTTCTAATAATATTTGTAAATAGGATGTAATGTCTGCATCTTGTACAGCAAATAACCACTAGGAAAAGAGTATGTAATGTGTTAATTATTGAAACTGTCCTACCAATTTGGTTTGAAACTGTCTCATTGCTATTTGTTTCTCAATAAAATTATGGAAAATAAATAAATAAATCGATCTTTAGCAAAAAAAAAAGATATTGGGGTAAATTCATGCTTCCTAAAAAATAAATTTTAGAAACAATGGAGTTTAATATATATTTATTGAGGGAAAGAAAGCTTTATTCTGAGAGAGAATCAGAAGGGGTCCCAAATGGGTTGCCGAAGAACCTACTTTTTCTAGGGATTTTTATAAAGCAAAATCACAAAGTGAGGCAGGTCTAAGGTTGGAAACATGGGAAATCCCAAGGAGGTGGTCAGGAGGTGGGACAAACTATGGTCAACCAATAAGATTACAAGCTTAATTGCTCAGGTAAAATTGATTAAATCAGGATCAAATGGGAAAGCGAGTCACACAGCAAACAGATGTGAACTCAGAACAGGGGCTTACAGAACAGAATATCCATTACACAGCAGAATATCAATCCCTGGTGTTTATCTTTAGGAGATGTGTGGGTGTATTTGTCTTTCATCTTGAAGTCTGGCCCACAGCTGGAGGTGTCTGTCTCGCCCACAGTTGTAAGGAATCTGGTCTACCATAAGGGCCCAGCCCTGTCTGACTGCCTATAATATTTCAGTTTAACTCAGTTGCCTAAAACACTTCTTGCCACCTTGGAGCAGTTCTGGAAGGCCTCCTACATAAGTCTTTAATTTCACTGTTCTGGCTGCATCAACATCTTGAACTGATTCAAAACGTTTATCTTTCATGACCCTTTTAGCTTTGAGGAAGACCCAGAAGTTGCATGATGCCAGATGCTGCATCCTATGAATAAATTGGATGAGGAGCCAGGGGTGGTACAGCACCCCTGTAATCCCAACACTCAGGAAGCTGAGGCAGGATTATGGCAAATTCTAAAACAGCCTAGGCTATATGTGTGAATTCAGACCAGCCTAAACTACACAGTGAAACCCTGTCTCAAAAAACAGACCAAGCACTTCCCTGGCAAGCGCAAGGATTTTAGTTCAATCCCGGGTTCGGGGGGTGTGGGGGGTGGGGGTGGGTGAAGAAGACCAAGATGGCACCAAAGACGAAGAAGGAAGCCCCTGTCCCTCCCACAGCTGAAACCAAAGCAAAAGCTCTGAAGGCCAAGAAGACTGCCCTGAAAGGCATCCACAGCCACAAAAAGAATATATGAACATCACGTACCTTCCGCTGTCCCACAACATTGCAGCTCCAGAGGAAATGGAGTGGCAAATACCCTTGAAAGAGTACCTCCAGGAGAAACAAGCTTGACCACTATGCCATCATCAAGGTCCCCGTGCCTACCGAGTCAGCCATGAAAAAAATGGAGGACAACACCACACTGGTGTTCGTTGTGGATGTCAAAGCCGATAAGCACCAGATCAAACAAGCTGTGAAGGGCCAGCGGCCAACTAGCTCAGCGGAGTAAATCACCTGCTTAGGTGGATGCAGGGACGGGAGTTCATCCCCAGACCTGCAGTGCCGGCCCCGCCCCCGAGGCTCGTTGAGATGATGATTGAGACTGGGCATAGGGGCGCGCAGGATCTACGCAGTGAGACCCTGAACAGAACGCATATGTTCCACTGGTTCCTTATTATAATACATTGGATGTTACCAACAAAATTAGGATCATCTAAAATGAGTCCAACAAACTTATAAAAAGGAAAGTCAAAACTTCAGAAAAATAAAATACATTTATCCTCAAAATAAAATAAAATAAACTGAATCCTGCTGGTAAATTCTAAACACATACATTTTTCCCCATTTAAAAAAAAAAAATGGCTGGGGAGATAGCTCAGTAGAATAGGTGCTTGCCTTGCACACACAGGGTCCTGAATTCAATGGGCCGGGGGAGAGACTGGGGAGATGTCTCAGTGGAATAAGCGCTTCCTTGGCAAGTGCAAGGGCCTGAGTTGAATCCCCAGTTCCGCAAAAAGAAAAAAAATGTTTAAAAAAATATATATGAGCACAAACCTGAAGGCTGAGGCAGCAGTATCACCCTGAGTTCAAGGCCGACCTGTGCTACCTAGTGAGATTCTGTATTAAAAAGAAAATTTACGATGCGCTACATTTTACAAGCCAGCCACAGTCGCCATACTTTTGATCAAAATTCATAGACAATCAGGAAACAGGTTTTTAAGTACTGGTTCCAAAGGGGTGAGAACCATGATCCAGGTGTGTTCAAAGCAAGGTTACTTTGAGAAGGTTGAGGGCAATGTGTCTTTTACCTTAGTGAATATTCTTACATTAAACATTTACCATACTTTTTGGCCACCCCTGTTGCATGGGAAGACCTCGGGGGCCCGGACAGATTGCCCGCAGATCGCTTCGCAAAACTTTTAACTAGGGGGCTTAAAGGCTTCAAAGTTCACAGGATGAGGAAAGCGAGTGAAAAATCGGTTCCCTCCCGGAAAGCATGAAGGCGGAGCAGTGCACAGGCCGCGGGCGGGGTGGGCTGAGTCAGGCTTGAGCAAGCCGGGCGGGGCGGGGGCGGGCGCGGCGGGGCGCGGCGGGGCGGGCAGGGCAGGGCAGGGCCAGCGCCGCGGACTCAGCTCGGAACGGCCTCGGCACCCCAACCGCTCTGCTCCACTCCGCTCTGCTCCGCTCCGATCCATCGGTAAGGCCGGCTTCCCAACTTTCCTTCCAGGCTCAGTTAGGCGGGGAGGGCGGCGGGCTGCGCGCCAGGCTTTATCGCTGAGCCCTCGTGGATGTGGCAGGATACAGGCCAGGAAAAGGCAATTAGAGGAGCGAGGGCAGGAGAGTAATAAGACCTGTAGCTGCAGCCTGGGGCGGCCGCCGGGTTCTTCTGCGTTCCTGCTCTAGATTGGAGGAGCCGGGGCAGGGCGGGGTCCCGCTGCGTCCCCCAAGGCCCCTGCTGCGCCCCCGGGCCCCACTGCGCCCCTCGGTACCCTCTGTGTTCCCCGGGCCCCTCTGCACCCCCAGATCCCTCTGCTGCGCCCCCCATCGCTGCTGCGCCCCTCGTTCCCCTCCGCGCCTCCCTCCCTGATCCCTTCTGTGCCTCTCGATCCCCGTTGCGCCCCTCGGTCCTCTCTACGTCCCTTTGGTTCCCTCTGCTCCCCCTCACCACCGGGTCCGGGAGGAAAGCTAAGCCAGAGCCGCTCTGGAGGGAGGGTTCGGAGGTGGAGCTGTACAATCAGGAAGAGAACTTTTCCGACTTGGTCGCCTGCGTCCTAGGGGAAATCAGAGTTTCAGTAAGCGACAGGCAAAAGGCCAAGACACTGAGCCGAAGCCAAGGGCTGTGGCCTCGCAGGAGGATCCAGGCCTCGCCGCCCCCTCCTCTTCCTGTTCCCCGCCATCCTGCGAGGTGCTCGCTGCGTGGCCTGCTTTTGTCCCCCACGACTTGGCAAGGCCCACGTCAGCTCTTTCTACTTTTCCACTCATTCATCTCCTCCTTGGTCTCTCTTCAGTAAACGGGGGCCGGATCGGGTTTCTGGTTCCGCAGGGCTTAGGGTGTCTTTTCCAAAAGACAATCAAAAGAGGAAGAATACTTTGTGGAAATTATGTGAATACCGAACCTCTGCGTGCATAAAGTTTTGTAGGCGCTGCCACACCCATTGGTGTCTGTAGCGTCCACACTTGTGCCTGCCGCAAAAGCAGAGTGACAAGGGACACATGGGCCTCAGTGGTCTAAAATGTTCACCAGCTGTCTTATTTGTTGGGGGAGGAGCCGCTCGTCAACCCCCGCGTTAGTGTATCAGTCTACCACCCTCCACATTTTTCTCTCTTCCCATCGGAAAAGAGTCAGGGTCGTGAAGTACCTTAAAGGAATGTCGGGCGTGGCACCAGCCTGCCATGAGGAAATTAGATGACTGCCCTAAGGGGGGGTGGGGGGTGTTAAAAGTGAGGGTGATTTTTTTTTTAAGTGCCTTTTAAAAATTCTTCCCCAGTATCTGTTTCTCACACTTTCTCCTTGCAGTCAAAGTCCCCAAGTAAGCTACTTGGGCGGAGGGTGTTGGTTCTCCTTTGCTTCCATCACTGTCCCACCAAGGAAAAGCCTTCCCTGCTCTGGGCCTCCTCGGTCCCATCTCCAAAGTCCCCGTGAACGCTATCAATTCTATAATTCCATTTCTGTAATTTGATCTCTGTGTTCCTTTTGCTTCAGAGAATTACTTCAGGGGCAGGAAGTGCAGGGAGGTTAAAATTTACTCGTTGGGTCAGAAAGCAATATTTTTCAAAAGAAAACTATAGTTAAATTACAGTCAACAGGGGAGGGTCGGGGTGCTGGAGAGGGGTCTTGAAAACTGCAACATAAAAGTGCTCTGAATTCTGTACATAAAGGTGACCGAAGCATCTGTCAGTGTAGAAGGCCACAGAGCCAGGCCTGTCTGCTAGAGCCTTTCCCTCTAGTGAGCTCTCCCTGCCAACCTTCCCGTCAGCCCACAGCTAGCAGGACTGTGAGATTTTGGTTCCTGATAAGCAGAGCTGTTGTGCAAACATGTCTGTTCCTAGGCTGTGGTATTTTGGGTTTCCTCCAAGCCCTACCAACATTTCTCTTAAGTTCCTTTTGTGAGAGAGGACACTCCCTAACATTGTGGTTGTTGGGAAAGGCTGTACCTCTAGGAGGTTCAGGGCTGGAAATGCTCCAAGATCCCAGGGGCAGCAGCGTCTAGCAAGGCTGGTAAAGCAGCTAGAGGAAAAGAAGGGGAGAGGCCAACCTAGGGCAGGAGGCCAGAGCTGAGCAGGTCAGTCCTTAGCACATGGTAACTACAGGGCCCAAAAGCCTTTGACTCTGGGTTCAGGAAGTCTACCCCAAAGGCAAATTAAAGGGTAATGCTGAGTTGCCAACGTTGCTGTCCAAACGAATCATTGTTAATACCTAGAGGAAAAACCTCAGAGAAAGGGTGTGGCCCCAGGTTCCCAGGAAGCCTGAGCTGCTACTCTTATCCACCAGGGGGAGCTCATCAATTCACGTCTGGGCCTCAGCCCGACAGAGCCGCCCTGCAGCAGCATTCCCCCGGGAGGAGCAGAGACCAGCACAGGGTGAGAACCTCCTGGTACCACCACAGCTCTGGTTCCTCTTGCAATGAGAACTTCCACTTGCCATTCCCCTGAAAATTAAGCAACTCGTGGAAGTGGAAGGACAAAGGCCAAGGTCTGCAGAAAGGGTCCTGGAGGCCACATCCTCTGGATGGTGCTGCCACGTTGGTTTCCTTCGCGTGCCTCAGTGGGTTCACAGTAAAATCAATGGTTCCAGGCTCTTAAATAATGGAATCTACTTCTGAAAACCTAAAACTAAAAAAAAAAGAAAGAAAGAAAAGAAAACCTAAAACTTTCTGTGACTTCGTATGGTTGTCTTGGTCCCCTGAGGTCCTTTTTTTTTTTAAAAAAAAAGCTTTATTTTATTTATGTGTGTGTGTGGCCAGCTCAGCCCACCAGGGGGCGGGGCTAGCTGGCATGTGGTGCTGGGGGATCGAACCGCTGTCCCTGTGCTTTACCAAGCTTGTTCCAAGTAGGTGCTTTAGACCACTGAGCCATCTCTCCAGCCCCCCTGAGGTCCTTGAAAGATGACCTTTCCGCGTGGATCCAAAAATGAGATGAGCCCTCCCGGCACGTTTGCAGTATCCATCCTTCTGTTTCTAGTCCCTGTCTGAGCTCTGCCTTTTTTTGTTTCCTCCAAAGACAAAAATGTCCAGCCCTACAGAGACTGAGCGGTGCATCGAGTCCCTGATTGCTGTTTTCCAGAAGTATGCTGGAAAGGATGGAAACAGCGTCACACTCTCCAAGACAGAGTTCTTGACGTTCATGAATAAAGAACTGGGCGCTTTCACAAAGGTACGGCTCTGTCTCCACACCCCGGACTGCCCACAGCATGAATAAGGCCGTGGCAGAATGGCAGGGAATGGGGTCTCCCCAGCAGTGACTTCCACACCCAGCCCTCTTCAGACCCCTCCAAGGCCCAAGGCCGCCGTGTGGCAGCCGCGCTGAGCCTGGCGGGGTGAGCAGTGCATCTCAAGTAAAGCGTCTTTTGTCTGGAGTAAGATGTATTTTAAAGCTCCTAGTATGCAAACTGCCTAACGTGGAGGATAGTGACTTATTTTCTTCACCTATGGGGAGAGGTACATGACATGGTAGATAGCACAGCAGCAGATAGTTATTTTCAAAGTATATTCCTCCACCCCAAAAGCTCTAGGGCAGTCCTGCGGCTTAGGCCTTCTGCAGTGGGACAGTAGTCTATACCTGCACTGTCCAGCAGGGTAGGCACCATCCCCAGTCACACCAACCATTCAGCCTACTGAGCACATGGCCCAGGGCTGGTACTGTGTATGGGACTAGCTAAGTTACCCACATGTCTCCATTGGCCATCAGAGGGTGCTTGTGTTGGGGGCTCAGAGAAGCGGAAGATGCAGCTAATTGGGCAGGGCCTCTCCCTCTTTCTACCAGAAATCACTCCACTTGTATATGTTTTACCCATTGGAAATACATGTGGCACCCAAAAAACACATTCCACTGATTTTGTGAACTTGAATAATACCCAGTGTCACAGAAAGAACCCTACACCAGCAGCAGGAAAGCCTGGACTTTATCCCATTTCTGGCTCTAAGGCAGGAACCTCTCCTCTTTGAGACTATTTTCAAATGTGAAAAATAGGAATATTAATAAGCCCCTTCCTGTGCCTCACTGCAGTGAGAATAAGGGTGGCAGCATATTTCAAAGTACCCTAGAAGCGTGATTTGAAGCTCTTATTGTTATCTTTGCAGAACCAGAAGGACCCTGGTGTTCTTGACCGCATGATGAAGAAGCTGGACCTCAACAGTGATGGGCAGCTAGATTTCCAAGAATTTCTTAACCTT